CTGCTACTACTACCACGACTACCACTACTACCACTACTACGACTGCCACCACTACTAGTACCACTGCTACTACTACTGCTGCTGCTGCTACTGCTACTGCTGCTGCCACTGCTGCTGCTACTGCTGCTGCTGCTGCTACTACTGCTACTACTGCTACTACTAGTTTTATGCTACCTTTTTGCGATGCCGACGACGGCTGCCGCGACAAAGGTTGAAACTCACAGCGTCCATTGTTGCACCTACCACTCCCCTCGGACGAAACCGACCCCGAAAGGATTCATGGCAACAGAGCCACAACTCAGCGCGGCAACAGGTTTTCGTACCTCGAGTGTTTTGGGTCAGGTGCCGAGATGCCTGCCACGAACTTACCAGCAGTTTGCAGTTTTGGTGCTTGCTAGCCTCAGACATTGTGCCCAAGACTTGTCCAGACGAATCGTTTTTTTTTCGAACGTTCTACGGACCTATGGATCTTTTTGCTGGCTGTGGCGTCCAGCCGTCCAGCTGCCAAGGCGACGCCTAGAACAGAAAAGCTGCTTGGCTTCATGTCGAGGTGTGCATATTGAATGAAGCGGGCCTGAGCGGTTTGATGTTTATTTTGTCTTGGCTGCACTGAGGAAGGACCCTTCCCCAGCGGCTCAGGCTGCAGGCACTTGTGGGGGTCACTGGCATGTTGGCCTACCGCAGCCAAACAGCTCATCAGTACCGTCTCTACTTGGGGGGCCTGCACGATTTCTTCGGGGACACAGATAGATGGCACTGGCGCGAGTTGGAGGGAGAAGGTGAAGACGAATAAGACGAGGGGGAGATGGAGAAGCGGGGAGAGGGGATCGAGAGGAGACGGAGGCGGAGAGGGGAACTACAGACCGAGGGAGAGATGGAGCCTTACTCGAAGGCGCCGGTCCTGCGAAAGCGCTGGCCCAAGCCGCCTCGGCGGCCGCGGCCGCAGCTGCCGTGCCGGTGCCGCCGAAGCGCGGCTTGGAAGCGCTTCGAAGGCGGAAGGGTCTGGGTCTTGGACCACACCGTGGCTGGTTCAAGACCGACAAGTGCTGAAGCTGCGAAGCACTTCTCTGCATGAGCTGCGCAGATCTTCAACAGGTCTTCGTTCATGGAGACATCTTCAGATTTTGAACGATCCTAGGTCAACAGTTCGATGTCTTCAAAGGATTCCGCCTGTGCAGGTTCGACGTTGGTGGTTTATCCAAAGTGGGTTGGTGCCGCAGGGTTCGAAACACTGCTGAGGCAAGGCTGCGGCGGCCCCGCCATCTACACCGGTGGCGCCGCCGACCTCAAAGCCAGCACAGAGCTCCTTAGCAGTGGTATGAGTTCAAGCTTACAGGAAAACTTGCAACGTGTGAACTGCTACACACGACTCTTCTCGAAACTTAGGGGAGGAAGGACAGCCATCGACCCGAGAAGATACTGTAGCGTGTTGCTACCTTTGCGCACCCGAGCTTCGAGGCAGACCAGTCGTGAAGCCTCCTTCTACGCCGGCTGCAACATCCACGCCGTCCGTACCTGCCGCAAAATCCACCGCGTGGCCCAGTTGAACTTGATACAAGCTGCAGGGAGCGCTAGCTGAAATAGCATTGCGCAAGTTGCGCCTACTTTCACGCCAGGCAGCCCGCCCAGCCAGGCCCACAGCCTCCTCCAGAGGAGAAGAGGAGGCATTGCCAAAAGTTCCTGATCCGTGTAAGTTGCCGTCTGATCTTGGGAGCATTCAATTTGGGAGGCGGCTGCTCGCGAATGCTCTGCAGCGCCAGGTGGAAGCACTGGGGCCAAGAACATGTCTGTAACTCCTTCAGGCTCTGCAGCCTCAGCCCCGAGCTCTTTTGGCCAAAACCTGGCCTGGTTTCTGCAGCCAACCTTCGCCTGTGTGCAGCATCACGGCTGGTCAGACACGTCCCTTTTCGGCAGGCCAGAACTTCAGCACCGCGCAAGCGACCATCTTCTCTTCTGACAGGTGGTGCGCAGGCCACTAAGGAGGTAAACGCCGAGTTGCTTGGACCTCATTGGTTGCTAAGTATCTAAAGGCAATGAGTTGGCATGAGCCCTCCCCTTTTTCTCTTGGTTCTGCTGCTGACCTCCTCCCGCAGGTCTTGGTAAGAGGCGGCAGAGAGTTTGATTTTTGTTGATGTGCTCAGGTTGGAGTTTCAGCAGAAGTGGTTCAACGTAAATCGGAGTGCCGGCTGCAAGTACATCGTTGGACAGCTGCGTCGAGTGACAGGAAGATTGGGTCAAAGAAGATCACTTAGGACCAAAAATCTTGCCCCAGGATCGAAGAGTCAGTAAGCACCACGCCATAGGGCCCTTCTTTTTGTCATGGGCTGGACAGAGGCAGAAGTGGCTGCGCTTGCTGCCTCCTGTCTCTTGGCTTCCTTGGTCGCCCTAGGCGTTGGGCCCGTTGCTGTCAGCTTGCTGCTGTTCGATTGTGGAAGAACCGAGGCGTCGCGAGAGCTTGGTTCTGTGCAGCAGACTACTAGTCGGGATGTGGTACTACAATCTACAGTGCATGTCGCATGTGAACCGTAACAGTGCTTGCTGGAGCCTCAAACGCGGAAAGAAACCCCACACTGGGAGCTGCGAATGCCGGGGCTTCATGGCCCAAAACCACATCAACAATTCATTCTAGAGAGCCCAGAAGCATGGACATCACCATCTTGTCGGAGACTCACAATTGCCAGGTTTGCGCTGTCATCGGTTGTGCGAATCACCTTCAGCTTGTTGTATATTGGGAGCCCCCAATGTCATGAAGCCTAGCTAGAATCAACTCAGCATCTGTTTTGTGGGGCGGAAGAGGGCTTTCTTGGTGCTCACGAGCAAAGGAGGAGAGCAAAGCTCACAGACCAGTTCAGCCCTATTCGGCTGAAACCGCGCAGAAGCTGGAAGCGTTCCTCAGAAGATCCTTGGGCCCGAATCGAGTCGTTCCACATGCACCCAGACAGCTTAATGTGCGGAACTGGCTTGTTCCTCCCTGTGCAAGGTCTGGGTATGCTGGAAAGCTGAGATACAGTGCGGCTTGGGAAAAGTTCGCATGGGCGCTCCGGAGTCGTTGCTCTTGCTGCATTGCTTCAAGTGACACAGTCTACAGTCTACATCTCGTATCCTGCGTTGGGCACCGGCTCCAGGCGCCGCCGCGTGGAGATCTGCGTTGTGCGCCGTAGCTGCGGTGAAGCTCCCGTCCACTCTCATTTGCCATGGCCTGGCTACGCCGT